TTTCAAAAAAGTGTTAGTTGGGTCCTTTGTGAATTAAGGTAACGATATAAACCAAAATCTCAAACACATGTAAATAAAAAAAAGGTTAAAATACACATTTACATAAAAATCACAATTATAAAATAAAGTAAATATTAAAAACAATCGCAGTTTTCCGACTTTATTCAAAAATAAATAAAACTTAACTAAGTAGCTTCCACTTACTCAAAGGATCTTCTGCAGGATCCTTAATTTGCGGCTTCTCCGGTTTTATTATAGTAGTTTGGGAGCGTTCAATTGTCCGCTTTGGTGGTGCCGCTACAACTGAGGCAGTACTTTTGCTGCTACCTGGTGCACTGCTAGTGCTTGCGGTTGTTGAAGTAGGGGCCGAAATTTGTTTACGCGACGTGGAGGCAGTCGTAGGTGTCGGTGTGCGCTTGGATGAGTTTTGGGCACCACTTGTTACTTTTGCACTTGATTTGTGGCCACTTGTACTGGTAGGTGGCGCACGATTTGTCGTACTATCATTCTTTAAAAATAGTAATTTAAATTTTAGCATAAAAACAACATATGTACATATGAATTTATTACACTGATGGCCCGATAATTATAAACGATTTTCTTTTTCATGTTTTTATTTATTATCTTAAATTTATTTAAGGAAAATATAGTGCTTGCTACAACAAAAATCATTTAACTTAAAGCTTTAAACTTTGTACAAGATTTATATTAATTCGACGAAGTTCCAAAAATTGACATCAAAATTTCAAACTTCTGAAATTGAATGGGCAGTAAAACTTCATACCCAAATTATTTCTAAAATTCCAATTAAAAAGTTTGAGATTTCGATGTTCATATCTCGAACTTCGTCGAATTATTATAAATCTTATACAAAGCTTAAAGTTTTGAGTTATTTGATTTGTTGTTGTACATGTACTATATTTTCCTAAAAAAATATTATAAAACTTAAACATAGTTTAAAGCTTTGAGTTATTTGATTTGTTGTTGTACATGCACTACATTTTCCAAAAAAAAATAAATTAACAATAATAAATACAAACAGATGGTCAAAACTTGAAAAAGAAAGTCGTTTCCGCCAGCGTATGTATTTACATATAAAACTTACGGAATTTTCATTTGTCTGTTTTGATGGTGTTGGCGCCGAGCTTTGTTGCACTGTTGGCCTTACCGTGGCTACAGACTTGGTTTTGGAATTGCGTTCAGTTGCTTCTGATTTGTTTGACATTTTATTATTATCGCCAGAGGCAGGCGTTGGGGTGCCTGTGCTTTTTATATTGGCGGTAGTTGTTGTTGGAGCTAAACACAATAATAACGAAAATATAAATGAACATACGATTAATCCAGGAACTATGTAAATTTTTGGCGAAAATACCTTTTTGTGTGATTTTACTGGGTTGGGTGATTTTTGTATTACTCGGCTTCGGTATTGGTTTATTAGCTGCTTTCGAACCATCTGCATTAAGCGGTTCACCTAGAATTGGTCATAAAAACGAGCATATTTATTTTCGGTACATGGCGAGTCCGAACTTATAAAAAAAAAGATTATATCTACCTAAATCTTTCACAAGTAAATCGATCGAATCCATTGATATGCGAGACATTTGAGAAATACGTTCACCGCGCTGGCTCAACTTCGCGGGCACTAATGAAAAATTTCGTTAACTTCCCATTGTCGCAAACATGATAATGATAAATAAATAAAAAATAGAAAGAAAGTCCTACCTTTCTTTTGCATAATGGACTCGTCGTCAGAGTGATCATCAAATAAACTTTCAAATATATCTTGGTCTATAGAAGAAGAATCCTCATCTTCTGCCATGCTTGCAACGTTGCTAGTTGCGCGGCTTTTCGTAGCGGCGGAGTGAGAACTCATTGCTGGGAAAGCAGACCCATTATTTTTTTTTTTTTTATGATGCATACACACATATGTATATACATATATTAGTGGTATTCAATAATGCTTTCTTTCGACTTAACATTAAGACATTTTCACTTACTTGGTAGAATTAAGTCTTCGTACTCCTCCAGGTATTCAATTTCGTCCATTTTTATGCTCAGGACACAGTACCAGGAATTTCGCTTGTGATTTTGATTTCTCCCTTACGCCATTATTGCCTGCATTTGTCCTGCACTACAAGAAAACGTAAAAAATTTTGCTGCTTCAACGACTGTACTCAGGCACTATTTAAAGATTCTTACGCTTTATTTTTATTGTCCAGTT